ACACACACACACACACACACACACACACACACACACACACACACACACACATACACATTCTCACACACACACATACTCACACACATACAAACACATCTGGCAAATGGCTGGACCAAATTCATCCCATTTCTAGCACTTATTTTTGCTAAACTACACATCACAGCACACTGGCAGAAACTTATGGAACAATTCAGTCTTGAGCACAGAACTAGTTGAGACTCAAAAATAGTGCAGCGTAAGCAAACTAAACACAGCTTTACAGGTACAGTGCAAAACTACAAGCATGATATATTTGTGTCAAAATAAAACACACCGCCACCAGTAGGACAAGGTATTATTGGGGTAAAAATCCTACAAGACCCCTCTCCCCTCATCCTGCCACCCCTCCCCCCCTTGTACCTGAGTTGGGGGTCAGTGAATAAACTCACTACATGCCAGTAGGCAGTACAAAGCTTCTAACAATTGGATGACTCACCCAAACTTTCACAACTTGGAACAGCATTAGTTTAGTACTATGTTTTAAAAACGGCATGGCTAATTCCGAGTCATCCAGACCTGAAGTGAACCATAAACAATCTCAGAAAAACCCAGCCAACTTCAAGAGAACCCCACTGTTGTTTCTAATCCATTTCATTAGCCTGGGGTGGTGAGGAATATACCAAAGGAGAGGTTTGGGGGGGGGGGAGGGGGAGGAGGGGGTGAACAAATAGAAGGGTGAAGGGGAAGTGAAGGGAAGAGCAAAAGCTTAAAACCATGTGACTTTTCTGTCCACAATTCAACTATTTGGAAAACTATTCTGTTTGCTTTCTCATAGAGTGACCCAAAATGACAGGCTTGTGTTGAAGCTCAAACCTCACAAAGGAATCTTTTTTTTTTTAAAGCCAAACATCAGATGTGACAGTCTTTAGAATTTGAATAAATCTGATTTATTTAGGTACAACTCTACTGGCCACGCCTGAGCTATTTGTCAGCATACTACAATAATGGCGAAACTTGACTTGGGCCAAAATAAAAATAACCCACCATGGCATTCCTTAAACGAAAGCCTCCCACATGCCATAAAACAGTACAAGTGTGCTAAAAATGTCAGAGCTATATAAAGAAAAAATTCCCTAAAGTCTCAGTCAAGGAAAGGCATAACATCCTGATGTTTTTTTTCTATTAACTGAAAACTATTATACGAGTATAAGGCCACTATCATAGAATGCTGATCACTCTATAATACCTCCTGGTCTGAATGCAAAGCATACAAAAAACACAAAAAGCTTTGAAGCAAATTTGGTTGATCTTGAGTCAGGCAGTGTAACCAAACCAAAATAAGTTTACAGGTGAAAGTATTATAGATAAATACCAAAACAGTCAAGCTTTCAAAACCTTATATCTTTAGGAACCACGAAAGGTTACAAAAAAAAAAGAAAAGCAATAAAGGGGGAAGGAATGTATCATAATTAAAACAGATGTGTTTTAAAAAGTGGATATCAGAGTTCTGAACAAACTTAAACTTGTCTGAGGTACGAGAATATCGTACGGTCAATACTAAACCTCTTTTAAGGAACAAAGACTTTTGCACAAAACTCAAGAATAGCATAACTTTAGCTCAAGGACTAACTTGAGTTTGTAATTAAGAGACATATATAGGACTTAACAAATCATCAAGGCATGTAAAATCTACAAGCAGAGATTATTCACAACCAGTGTTAGTCATCAAACCAGTCTAGATAGCCATACCGTTTTCTGTGATAGGTGGGAGAACGACCACTGAAACATCAACAAAGCAGTTGGCATAAAATCACATGAACCACTCTCAGATGTCAGTACGATCATAGAGAAAAACAGCACAATACTTTTTGACCACTGGTAATGAGATTGAAAATGCTACATAAGAAAATATAAAAATTACTATTCTTTGACCAGCACAATGTGCTTTGAGATTAACAACTCAATATAAAAGAACATGTAACCGTATTTAATAAATTTGTAGAAACAAGATTTCTGAGAAGCAATGTAATTCAGTATACTTATCACACTTTCACAAACTGATATGTGGGTGTTGTGTTAGAAAACACAAAGTTATTCAATATTGAAATTTATATCATGGCGAATATGACAAATAACCCCAAAAAAAGACAAATAAGAAAAATAAAATCTACTTACGTTTAGTTCTGGATCTGGCAAGTTTTGCCAGTTCTTTCATCTTCAGGTCACTGGCTGATGGAGTGTACACGTTGGCGATAGACTCGCTAGGAGTTCTGTCATATTTTTGTTCTTTGAATGGGGCAGCCAAAGTCCATGAGGTGCTTTTCATAAGAGGGGGGTGCTCGCTGTTCCGAAGAACAATCTACAAAAAAAGTTGATGGTCTTACATTAAACTGCTACTAGATTGTTAAATACATCAACAACAATAGCAAACAAAACACATATCTAAACATCTCGAGCTACATCAAGGTACCACATACAGATTAAATAGCTCATCAATTTTGGAAGTGGGGGCTCACCAGATATGGTGTTCACCTGTCAATCCAGAGGTCTGGAGTTCAATTCCTACAAGTGTTGGGTTTTTTTCTCATGTTCTCTACACCCTTGATCCAAGGGTAGGTAGAAGTATTCTTGGATCATAGGGACAAAAAATTTTGGATGTCCTGTATGGAAGTTTTGTGCGGTAAAAATCCATAAATGGATCTAAAATCAAAAAGCGTTGGCCTTTTCGGCGTCATCCAGGCAAAACTCAAAATTAATTCTTGCCCAATTTATGTATATATCAAGAGTACTCTTGAAAACGGCAAGTGGCTGCCTGTCAGACAAGGGAACATTCTACATTACATCTATGTAGATAAAATGGCCATGTTCGTAAAAATGAAGTGCACTGTGAATGAAGATCTCAGAGTTAAGTTAACCCCTGATCTCTAGTAGGGTATTACAGAAGAAGAGAGGAAGAAGATCTCACAGGTCATAAGATTCCAACTTGTACAAGATAGAAGACTTTTGATATCTCAAAGAATTCAACTGTTGAATGACAGCAATACCGGCATCTTCAAGAAGTTGTGCCTCGTGCACACACCTTGGAGAGAAGAAGCAGACCCAACTATTTGGCCGAAGTGGAACATACAACTCCAACTATGACGTAGAGAGAATTGCCATAGTAAAGACCCTAGAGCAGATGACCCAAGACTTTTTTGAAGGCGCAGTAACACCAGGGGATGTTGTTGTCTTCTCTGACTGAATGTCAGTACTCCAAGCCGTCAAGAGAGGAGGAGACTACAGAGGTGACGGGAACATTCGGTAAAACAGATGGGCACTTCCTATGGCATCAGGGTTACACTGCAGTGGGTGCCTGGCCATTCAGGAGTACCAGGGACTGAGACTGCAAAAGAGCTATCAAAGACAGACACAGCCGCCTCTTTACAGACCTGCAGAGGGATTATCCAAGCCAAAAGCAGAGACGAGGGGCTAAACAGATGGGCCAACGCAAAAACAGGAAGATCTCTGTCTGGGTAACATGGACAACCCAACCCCAAAGACCCTTTGAGTCTCTTATGTAGAGCCGTTCAGACATTGATCTTCAGAGCACGCACAGGACACTTACACACCAGCAAGCACATAAACAGGATTAACACCGTGTGGGAACCCCATTGCAGACACTGTGACTACCATGAGGAGATCGTTGAACATCTCCCTCACTGCCCAAACCTGGCAGTTCTTCGGCGCAGGCTCCTACACACACCTATACTTACAAAGCTTGCTCTACTCTAGCGTTGACCAGATGACAAGGACATGTGGTTTCTTGAGGGAGGCATTGCGCTGCCAAGAGTGAAATGCTCGCAGCTAAAGGGATTTGAAAACAACAACATGCTTTGTGCATATCCTAAGTGACCCAATCGAACAAAACATTAGTAAAAAGAGCTCAGAAAAATAACAATAGAAAAAAACACTCTTTAGTCTTTTTTGTTTAAGTAAGAACTTTTATAAATAGGTCATATTTAAGTGCCAAATATTAAAGGCTAGAGAGTCCATACAAAAAAGTACAGATTACGATGACAGATATATGATAAAAGAATTTTAAGGAGTAAACCCCACTAAAGCTCTGATGAGCAACCCACTAACACACTCTCATTTTCATTTAACAGCATTTCACAAAGTCACAAACTTTAATATTTTTGTAGAGATTTAAACAAAACCCTCCTTTATTAAAAAGTTAATCACACAGACTAACCTTGTAGAGGTCAGAAGGCTCCCGAGACCCCTCCGCAGGCAGTGGAGGTAGGCCAGGCAGACCTCTTACCTTACTGCTGCTGAATACAGGGGTCTCACACAGCTGGGAATAAAGGATATTTGAGTCAATTCAAGAACATGTAGCCAACACCATGCACAAGAAACAAATATCCAAACACATATCCTGTGTGGGATATACTTAATATGTTTATGATAATGTGTGTGAGTGCATATTCTGTATTAGTTTGCATATATGTGCATAAAGAGCCCGCACATATGTTTATGGTAATGCGTGTGTGTGTAAGTATGTGTGAGTGTATGTGTGTGTGTGTGGAGTGTATTTGTGTGAGAGGCTAAAATATATACACTACTAGGCTTCCTGCTCCAAGACAAACAACTCCTTTTGTGTTCAAACCCCCAAAGTAACATGTGCCAGATCCTATAATCCAACCTCTGCCCGGCTCCTCTTAACTCAGCAACTCCCATTTCCTTACCCCCAGCTCTCCCCAACTCCCATTTGGAAATGGTGATTCGTTTAAAATTCCATTTAATAATAATCAAGCTACAGGAGGCTTTTGCCTAGGCCTAGATCTATGTCTTATAACTTGCATAATCAACACTAGGGATCTAATTATTAATATAATTTAATAATATTTATTTTATACGTAAGTTAATCTAGATCTAGATATCTAGATCTATAATGTATTATTGACTCTTAAAATTCTCAAAACACACCAATTTCATGTTTGTTAAGTAATCATACTTAGATCTAGATCTATATCTAAATCACACAATAATTAATAGATCTATGTATTTTAATTTTTATTAATTTTAGTATTTAGTTCAGATTGGTCATGGCATTCATCATCAACACTACTACAAAAAATCCTGCCCTATTAGTACTATTACTAATGAATGGCATTCATTAGCTTAAGCAGTAACAATTTCAATGGTTCACATTTCTACGGTCATGTTCATTAAATAAACACCTGCTCTGATTTTCAACAAATTATTAAAGCCCTACAATGCGTTCCACAAATACACGGCGGTGACACGGGCGATTCATTAGTAGTCTATTTTGGTACGTCGTTCTCACCTTTGCACGTTCCAAAGCCATCTTGTTCTTGTCTGTAACTTTACTCACAGGGCCAAAAGATTGAAGCACGTAGCTATCAACAGATCACAAGTTACAGTATAATTAAAACCGATTAAAAGGATAGATCTTAGGCTCTAGCTGCGAGTTAACCAGCTAGATACCTAAGGTAAACATTGCTGATGTCCCTCCATTTTGAAAGACACCATGAAGGGTTCCAGTTGCTAAGCACGCTGTCTCGTTTTAGCTGTTGCTTCCGGTGCCAATAAACCTGGACTTTTGCAAACTAAAATTTTTTTTTAATTTAGGGACTTTGTTACATTTTTATTATTTTAAAACATTGAAAAATAGACTTCAATACAAATATTCAAATAATTTAGATATGCAGATATTTACCAGGGGAGAGAACTACAAACCGCCAGGTCGTTTCCTTGGGGACAGCGTCGTGGAAAGACGATTTGAACAATGACCGAGGTAGTCGCGAGACCTTATATTCAGGTGAATGAGCGGGGGAGGTTTATACTTTAAGCAGACTGCTTGGTGAACTGAAGTGTATCAATTCACTGATTTGGAAACATGATGTGCCTTTTCTAATTGTGTTTACTTGGACTTAACTGTTTAACCTTATATTTTTTACTTTAAGACATTTAAGTTTTGATTTTTTTTTTTTATAACTTCTTAAAACAAATAATTAGATCTAATCTAGATTTAGATCTATATTTATTAAATCTAGATCTAGATCTAGTCTAGATTATCTATATCTAAATCCCAGATCAATCCTTGATCCTTGCCGACGTTCTTTCAGCATAAAAATATGATGATGTGCTTCTACCCATCACTTAATTCCATTTACGGTCCAATTATCATTATCTGTTCAACTATATAACTTAACTCAAGACCTGTGCAGATATCTAAAGTCGAGCAATGCTAGTCGTTTATTCAGCTAAGATTTATTCAGTGTAGGAGCATGCATGCAGACCTTTTGTTTACATGTAAAATTAAGCTATCTTTTAAATGAAGTTTCTCTTTTCTCGATAACAATAATAGCTTTGGAAATCTTGAACTGAAATAAGCCTTTTCGCATTCTAAAAAAGAGCAAATCATTGCCCAAACATTGTACACTCAATATAAATGAATATTAATATCCCCCTTTTTTTACTTATAGTTCTAACCTGATCCAGAGGGATTTGAACCTCTACAAAAATGTTGGAAATCATGAAACCAGTTGACTCTGTCCAGACACTCAATATGGCTGGAAACCAAAATAATTCTTCAGGCAACATTTTCCTGACTGCATCAAATGTATTATCGGAATCCATGAAGCATCCAGTGCCTTACAAAGAAGAGAATGAATTCAACTTAGGACGAGCGCTAGATCTGAGATGTGTGAGTGGTGCTGGATTCACGGTGTGTGGAGAATGCGAGAGCTGCTTGCTCACTCGGAAGATAAGAGAATTTCGAGAATGGTTTGCTCGGTTTGGAGATCACTCGAAGAAACGTTTTATGCTAGGACTGTTGAGACGAATGAGAAGCATTGACCTCTTGAAACATTTTGTCTCTTTACTTCAACCAACCCTCAATAAAGATTGTACTTATTCGAGGTCCAGGACAAACCCAAGCTTGGACACAGATTCTGCTACAGTAAGTTCAGATCGCGCCATGAGTGGTCAGAAAGTGGAGCAAGTGACCATAAGTACGTGGGAGTGGTTCACTCAGTCCTCCTACTGGACCAAGGCAAACTTCTCCCTCAACATTCTACAAATGTGCGAAGCCCACTTACTTCACACACTTCATACGCAAGCCCGCACTCTTTTAGCGTCAGAAATGAAGGCTGCAGATGCCAATACAGGTATGGTAATTTTTAAAATTTATGATGCTTTAACATATATATTACATGTCATATATCTTGCCTTTTTCTTGTCTTTAAGTTTCAGTTAGTAGCATATTATTATAAGAAGATGTTTGTCAGCTTGTTGGGTTTTTTAAATAAAATATAGACTCTGTTCAAGTTCACAAGATTATTGTTGTTTCAAAGCCATCCACCTATCTCTTCATCGCCAAGATTATTGTCACCATTTGTTTTTAGCCTTAATCCCAATTGCGTTCATTATTGTACCTTAACTAATATTTTGTTACGACACTCTAAGATTCTCATGCTATATCTATATGCTTATGTGTATGTTTTAAGATACTTTCTTTTTAAAACAGAATAATGCTTAGAGTGTATGTTAGAACTGTTTGCACCCTTATGTACACTAGCTAAACTGTGAATAAAAATGGGACCAGTTTTATGATAATTAAGTAGATCCTCATGTTTTCTGTGTGAAGTTTGCACATAAAATATTGGGTAACAAAAAAATATATTTGTAATTCTCCAGAGGATGACATTTATGAGGCAGCCTCTGTCCTGTCCACGGAGCACTCCCACCACTCAGAGGATCATCCAGAGCTAGAGCTCCTGTCCCAGTCCCGCTTGGAGTACTGCCCCATTGCTGAGAACCCATTCACCGGACAGCAGATCCAACTTCCAAAATCCCGCAGCACTTTTTCTGGTGACCAAAGTCTTGATTCTGAGTCTATCTCAGACACTGCCAGCAGCTCAGTGGATCCAATGATCCTGGTTATGCCCCAGTCAGCAAAAGCGTACGCAGGTGTGGCCCGCCATAAGGATTTCATACGTTGTCTCCCTGTACACTTAGCAAAGATGATTCTAAGTATGCTGGACATGGCAACGTTGTTCAATGCTCTGTGTGTGAGCCCCAACTGGAGGAAGCTAGTGGAGGAGGTCAGGGTAGAGTTTAGGGTCAACCAACAGCTGAAAGAAGAGGTCATGCTGATGCAGGTGAGTGGCTGATACCAATTTTTTCTCTCACCTTCTTTTGTCTTCTCACTCTCTCTCTCTCTCTCTCTCTCTCTCTCTCTCTCTCTCTCTCTCTCTCTACTA